TGCAGTCTCCTTAATGAGTTGGTTACCAAATGCGCAGGCAGGTGCTTGGTGTTAGGACATAGCACTGTGGTTTCTGGAAAGCCTTTTCATGTTGTGAGGAGAGGCAGATCCTGGTTCTTGACATTTTCCAGTCTGTGGTGAGAGACAGGGAGAAGCAGCCTGGTGAAGGAAGAGGAATCCAACTGCATGCTACAGGCAGAGCCATGCATTCTCATGCAGTCACTGAGCCATGTCCTACCATTCTCTTGTGCATGTAATGGCCATGGAGAAGACAGAATATCTACAAAGAAATACATTTGTATACATACATCACAATATATCCAATACTAAAGGTTCATATGTTGAAACTAAAGCTACCTGAAGTTGAAAATTAATTAAGCCATTAGTATTTTGTTAATAATTAGGAAGAATACTTAATGAAGGACTCTTACAAAGAAGCATTCACAAATTCTCTTTTTAATAGCTAAGGAAGCACATAACATATGTAGAGTTCTCTTACTAAAGACAATCTAAAATGTTTCTCTCTTTTTTAATGGATGCTAAATTCCTCCCCCTTTCAGGATTAGAAAGGTGACAGTAATAACTGCAGTGCATCCCCAAGTCTGCAGAACCAGCAGGTGTTGATATAAGGTGACCCTGGTAAGACACAACCTCTCACCCTGGCTTTTGCACCAACTCTGAAGTTGTGCTGAATTGATTAGTCATTTCTGCAGGTTGTCTTGGGGCTGCTCTGGGCCCTGCTGAGCTGGTGGTGAGGGTGCAGGAGGGCTGCTCCTGTGGGTCGTGGTCTCTCCAGAATTCTGGGCTGGCTGACTTGTGACACTAGTGGTTGCTTTCATCAAGATCAGAGAGGGATAAAATGACTATCTTCTGCTCAGCAGAGAAAACCCACCTTGCCTTGAGAGAAGGAGCACAGCTGGGCCTGGCAGGGCCGAGGGGGAAGCGCTCCTGTGGTTATGGGAGCACCTGCTTTGTGTCCGTAGACCCTTCTAAAGTTCCTGAGGCTCTGGAGGCTGATGCACAGTTTCTCTCGCTGCTGATCCCTTGCGGTGTGGTTGCTGTAGCACTGTGTGGCTCTGCCTGGAGCTGCACCAGCAGCGGCCCCGTTTCAGAGGGCTTCCCACCTGTGTCAGAGTGTACCTGCCACACCGTGCAGCACCAGAGTGCCGGCACTCTTGCCTGGGACACGCTTCCTTTTTGTGCCCTCCTGGCTTCTGAGGCTCAGAGGGCCGAGCTGGGGCCTGCCCTGGGTTCCCGGTGCCAGCATCTCCCACAGGGCGCAGCTCCGGAGTCACCGCGCAGCTGGTGACACTCCCGCAGGCCTGGGGCAGCTTCGCTTTCATGTGCCTCAGTCTCCAAATCCCCTCTCCCAGCCCTGGTGAGACAGCCCTGGTGCCAGGCCCTGCCCCAGCCCCTCAGTGCCACTGAGAGCAGCTTGCAGTGTCAAACAGCTCCTTCTCCTCAGCTCCCCTTCAGCCTTTTTGGATCAGTAGATCTGAATTTCCTAATACTAGGAAAAAAAAAAAAATCTTGTCTGAAAATAGAACCCTCCGATACACGCTTGTTGTTGGAGTTAGTACAAGCAGAAAGAGAACACTTCATGCTGCTGCTTGCTGATTCGAACTAGCTGAGCTGCCCTGGCGAGGCCGCGCTGCAAGTCGGGGATTAGAGTTAAAAACAGCAGAGCTCGGGTTCTGAAGGACTGACATCCAAAGTGGGAAGCAGACACCTTCACGGGAAGTGTTCAGAATCAAAACATCCCAGTAAAATACTGAGTTGTTGAGATTTGAGTCTTGCTTCAGTTATTTTTTCTCCTGAGGGGCCACCATTAGGATACAATTTACCACACACTGAGCTGGGGCATCATAGGACTTTCTGGGCTTGAATGTGCTGTGTTTTGGGCAGCTCAGGGTGGCATTTGTAATAAATAGCATGTTCTGTGTCATATTTGACAGATACTTCACATTTCTCATTGGAGTTGTAAATGTTTAGCTTTCAGTAGGAGCAGTATTACCTGAACTGAGGGGATTGTAGACTGGAACTGCCTGTGTGATGATGTTAATGATGAAGGCCTCGAATTCTAGGGCAGACATCTGCATTTTAGTGTTTGAAGTCCATGTCTAATGTTTGATGTTTTATCCACTGGCCTTTAAGAAAAAAAGAGGCAGTTCTGAATTGAATGTGGCCAGTTCAGATACCCAGGAGGCTGTAAGGAACTAAAAAAGGTTAATTTCTATCACTGCTACATTTTCTTTTATTTTTCAAAATCTGTTATCCTAGTATAAATCCAATACACTTCAAGTGGAATGGACTTGTTTCAGCAAAGGTTTAACATAACCTTTTCAATACCTATGTAGAAGTAAAAGGGGCAGGGGTATTTGCATGAACAATGGAATTTGAGGTGGGGGGAGGCTTCTCTGGCCTGAAACCAAGCCCTTTATTTTAGATTTATAGTGCTGATTTTAGGGAAGCACTGGCTTTTCAATTCTACTATCTTATGTTGTTAAATAAGCATTGTCTAACGTCTAACAGCCTTTTCTTTAGTAACTGGTTAAACCCAAGTTGGTTTAGTGGTCAAAGTAATAAATTCTAGTAAAAACCAGCTATTACTTGATCTTGAATCCTAGTATCAATGCCATATTTGAAGGTTCTGTTTCAGACACTCTGTCTGCATGTTTTTTAATTAAGAGGATATGTTTGTACACTGCCAGGGTGGCAGCAAGAAGGGTAAGTAAGGTCACTCGTGGATCCTGGCTACCAGAAGTTATCATGTTTACACAGAACATTCCTGTGGCTTGTTTTGTTTTCAATGAAGTTGGATTCTTTAAGATCTATGATCCTTACATTTTTCCAGATCTTCTGTAAGTTAAGAAGCATTGCTAATTGCTCTGCTTCTCACACGTGTAGTTAGATTACAGATTGTTTTCTCCATAAAAAGGAGAGCAAAGATTTTCAACAAAAGCAGTATTAATTTTCAGCTACATTTTCCTGACTGGTTGTTTGCATAGCAATTAGCAGAACATATTTGTCTTTTTAATGAGGATTTCTAGGTGAGAAGAGGCTTTATGAATTGAATTATTTTTAATTTGCAACGCTTACTTCAAATGAAAATCTGTAAGGCAATAAAGATACATCCTGGAAAGATACTAACTTAGAAAATACATCCTTATTTATTGATTCTAGATTGTTTTTCTTCATGCTTTGTGCTGACTGCCTTGGATGAATGCTGTCTGCCTCACTATAACTAAGAAGAGGCAGACTTCAGGGGAAGCAAATGGCAGAGTTCTTCCTTGTAATCCTTTGTAGGCAGGACATTAAGTGGGCACATAAAAAACCCAAACAAACAAGAAAGGGATGTAGAATTGTCTCATGGTACAATGTAGAAAAAAGCTCCTTTATGGAACTACATCTAATATAATCCTAATTTGGTGATCAGAAACCAAATGTTTCAACTGGGGGTGTTACACCAAATGTGTTTCTGAAGAATAACTATTGCTTGACTTTCTGGCCTTTAAAAGTGTATTGAGGATACTACTAACCTAGTACTGTTCTTAAAAAGTTTTTTCAAAGTTGTTATTTGAACAAAATTTTGCTGAGCTCATGGTAGTGTTTACTACCAGCAATATATAAATTGTATTGCTGAAGAATATTTTAATTACTTCTGTTACCTCGACCCTGTATGTTTTAATTTTTGTTACAGTTTCTATAGAGTAAACCAAATGACCCTGTATTAAAAGTGCAAGACAAAAAAATGACAATTATTGCAGCAGCCTGCCAACTGCAGCTGAGCATTCCAACTCTTTCCTAAATATCTGCAGTGCTGAGAATCTGTGCAAAAATAAAAGGGGATGACCCACTTTCCATTGGCATCAGTAGCAAGACTTCTGGTGAATTCAGTGTTTCAGATCAAGGCGTAAATGACAAATTCTGTATTTTGATCAATGTGTACTTCCACTGTTTGCTGACCTATTTTGCAGATTATTTTTGGTTTTCTCTACACTGTGTTTTGCCTGTTATTACAACATTGAGTTGGTCAGGTGAAAAATATTTTTACTTAAAAACAAATACCTTTCAATGTTCACACATTACTAAACATCAAATGCAAAGAAGAAGGTAGCAAGGAAGAAATACTGCAACAACCAGTATGTGTTCCAGTGATTTTTAAACTTCAGTTTTAGGGGTTTTGGTCAACTGAGTTTCTTGGGCACGTTTCTTAATTCTGTTTTTCCCAGGAGATAAAGGCTCTTTCTCTTGAACGCACCCCTGAACATAGTATTTCAGAACCTCTTGAAGATGGCTAGATAAGTGGAGCTCTTTGAGCTTTTGACA